GAAAATTGTAAGGTCCAATAAGGGGTTTTAAAGAGTGGAGGGGGAAAAAATGGAGGAGTTAAAGTTATCAGCAGTAAATCATAACTGGTGAAATGTGTAAACAAGTTGAAAAGTGAATGTGTATTCAGGTTTGGTGAAAATGTGACTACAGATAAAAGGAAGAGAATTGGTAGATGAACAGACACAGTTGTGTAAAGCTCATAAAATAAAAATGATCATATTTAAGGTAAATGAACCACACTGATTCACAGCCAACGATGATCTGAAACCATAAACCTGATTTTGGATTAACTACTGTTTGCCTCAGAAATACAGACTCACCTGAAGGACTTAAAATAAAGTAGGTTGTATATTCAGTTGAGTCAGTGCTAACATACTCTTCCATGCTGTAGTATCCCCAGAGGAACATTTGACTTTCACTGCACATGGCTGGACCTGTTAACATGAATGTGAGTATAAACCCAGAAGACATGACGCTTCAGACATGGTGATCCCACAGTGCACCATATTTAGCTGGCAAAAATAAAATTCCAGGGACCATAAAAACCAGAAGATCTAATAAAGATTTTCTGGGACAGCAGTAACATCTCTTCTAAAAATAAACCACTGCAAATAAATCATTAAGACTTCATCTACACAACAGACAGACCGACAGTTGGCTTGGAGAGACAAGGCATCATTAAAGACGATGAGTAGAGACTGATGAAGGGCTGGGAGGATATAAAAATGAAAAAAGAAGAGAGATAGAGAAGGAGAAATATCTGGAGGATGACAGAAGTAGAATCAAGTTTTAGGACTGGGAGGCAGAAATTTATTTTTTATATGAATTTACACTGCTGGAGTTTATATGTTCCAGGCTGATCATGTTTCTTTTACCTGTAGAGAAAATTGAATGGTGTTTATCCCAGAAGGGCAGCACAAAATGAATTATAGGTTCTATTTTTAGGAGCTATCAAATTGTTCCATTGATTTTGACACCTAATACAATGGTAACTCTTAAGGCAAGTTAAATTTAAGACTTTAAGACCTCTTTAATGCCACCTGAAACTAAATTTAAGACCAACTCTACAATAAACACAAATGGGAAAAAAACAGCAGCAATTTCACTCAAATGTTTATTTTAACACAAAACAACTAGCTGCAAAAGGCATTCAGTAAGTTATTTTACAAATAAATTACTGTCATAAATTATTTTAATATTTAAGACTAATTACAATCATTCTAATTACAATGTGCTAACATTTTTAAGATCAATAAAAGATTGATTTAAGACATTTTAAAGGTAATTAAAGCCTTATATTTGAATTGATGAATTCAATGCCTTTTAAGACTTTTTAAGGATCCCTGTTAAAGAGGTGAATGGCAAAGAAACTGAATTAACTGTACAATTAAAATTCTCATAAAATCAAGTCTCAAAAAGATTAACTTCAACAAGTAGTAGCACACAAAAATAATTAGCGCACAATTTTGAGCACGGTTTATAAATGCATGCATTTTCCAAAATCAGATGTGCTTCAAACATGTTTCAGGAAGCCCATAGTGAGAAAGACTTTCAATCATGCCCAATATTTATTAAAAGCATCCAGCAAATATAATAAAACACAATCTCTTAATACTTAATCTGTGAGCATAACCCGTCAAGCACTGTACTGTGCCAAGAAAAAAATTAATAAAATTTTAAGAAATCCCTAACTGAGAACATCTACTAATCTTTGAAAAACATGCGACTTTCAAAGAAAGATTACAGCTGATGTCCTTAAGCTCTTGCTTAGATCCTATAATTGATTATAGATGCAGAAGGATTCCACATAAATAAATCCTAAATTTAATGCAATGAACTAAAAAACTAAATCATAATTGAAAAATGCAATGCTTTATGCGTAACTTTACTGTTCATAAATTTTTCAGGCTGCTCTTGGTTAAAAAATAAGGAGCAGTTTTTCCTGAGTGTAGGATTTTGGAAAGAAAACATTTGTTATTTCTCCACATTCATACAATTGAAAGTGAAATCACACATGACTCCACATTCAGCTGGGAACATAGAGTCTGAAAACATTATACGACCCTTTGATTAGAATTTTCCTCTTTGACCTCAAGTTACCTGCTTAAGTGTCCTTGAATAAATATGTGATTCTCAAGAGTTACCACTAGCTTTGGTCTATGACTTGACCTCATTTCTAACCTTACAAGGCAAGCAACAAACTGCTGGAAATAATACTCAAAAGGTGACACGGGTAACACTGTACAAATGAAGTCAGAAAAACTGGTACAATGACTTGAATGCAACAGTACAGATGTAGGTGAAAGGCACTAGGAACCTGACAAAAAATGCATCATTAATGGGCGATTACTCCTACCTAAAGGCAGGCACATATTTCATTTAACAATTTAACAACAGAAAAGGAGTATAAGAAGATAACATCTAAAACACTCAACATCAAAGCAAAGCAAGATAAGCCATCCTAAAATAGCTCAGTAGAAATGCTTTAGTCTGTCACTCTTACTTGGAAATTCCAAGCAGTCGACAACCTGGCTGACATTTGTACAAGATAAATTTTGTATGTAGTGCAACATACTCATTAAATTACATTTTTCTTAAGATTTATTTTTAATTATTGTGAAGGTTGTGGACAACCTGATTCTGTCAAAAGGTTGGGCACTGGACAACCTGGAAAATTTCCATACATGGAAATAAAGTATCAATCCAGAACTTTAGTATTGACAAGGTCCAACATTATTATCAAATATTTCTGTGGATTCTCAGTCATCCAGAGGATGGAAAATAAGAAAAAAAGAAGAAACTGGATTTCTGTTCTGTAGCTGAAGATGTGTGGAGCTTCAGGATTTAAATAACTGCTATCAATCAAAAATAGTACTGTGTAAGTATTTATGTAGTTTTAAAGAAAGCATTTGACACAATTGATCACAGTATTCTTGAACAATTAAGTAAATATGGTATTAGAGGGTCGGCACTACAATGGGTATCTAGTTATTTGAAAGATAGGAAACAGTTTGTACAGATAAATGGTGTAAGATCTAAACTTGGTAATATCACATGTGGAGTCCCTCAGGGCTCTGTACTGGGACCCAAGTTATTTATTTTAAATGTGAATGACTTAGTAAATGTGTCAGGACTTTTCAAATGTGTTTTATTTGCTGATGATACAACATTTTTTTTTTGTTTAGGTAAAGATATAGAAAAAATGTTTGAGATGGTACAGAAAGAATTTGAGAACAAAATACAAAATTGGTTTCAACAAAAAAATTGTCATTAAATTTGGATAAAACAAATTACATGACATTTAGTAATAGGATGACAACTGTTGATTTTTCATTTTAAGTAGATTGTACTGAGATCTGTAAAGTCAGTGAGGTGAAATTTCTGGGTGTCACCATTGATGACAAGCTGTCCATGTCAGCTTGTCATCAATGATGACAAGCTGACATGGACACCTCACATACATTATTTACGAACAAAAATATCTAAATCTATTGGAGTACTGTATAAATCAGGGAGTTATTCAATGACAGGGCTCTGCTTGTGTTGTAAAATTCAATAATATTTCCACATTTAATTTACTGTATTGAAGTCTGGGGTAAAGCTTGCAAAACAATTACAAATCCGATTTTTGTTTTACAGAAAAGAGCCATAAGAATTAAAGAATTATCGCTAGAAACGATTACAACCATCCATCAAATACACTATTTTGCTAACTGAAAATTTTGAAATTCTTTGATTTGGTTGATTATAATATTTTACTGCTTATGTACAAGGTTCACAGAAACATATTACCTTCCAACATTCAGGCAAATTTTGTTAAGAGATACAGTTGTTATAAACTAAAGAGGATGGAAAGATTTGTGATGCCATAATTTTCGTACTTCCTTGAGAGAAAGATATACTTTAATCCAGGGTATAGTTTAAACCAGGGTATAGGATTGTGGAATGGTCTGGAGGATGATCTTACAAATGCCATATCTATGTATACTGTATACAGTATTTAAGAGACAGATAAAAGCTAGTTTGTTGAAGGCATATGAAAAAGTAAAATGAGAAGTTATATGAGTTGCTTTGAGTTGATGTTTTTATTTTTATTTAGTATTGTTTTGTAAATTATGTTTTGTTAGAATATATTCTGAGGATAAAAGGGGCAGACATAAAATTTATTCTTCTTCTGCTACCTTTCATTTTATTTTGATTTGTGTATTTTCTTTGTTTTCTATTGCACATAGTTATTTTTTTAATGAAATTAATACATTTTTTGAATTGAAGTGAAAATTGAATTGAAATTGCATGACTCAATGTTAGTATGTTTATTACTTGGATCAAATTGTATACCCCCACGTCTCAGGCGTAAATGTCTGAGAAATGCGGTATGAACATTTAGACCAGTGGTTCCTCAAGGACCACTATCCTACATGTTTTGGATGTTCTGTTTTGGCAAACCTGATTTAAATGAATAGGTGATTGACAGGCTTCTGCAGAACTTAAAAACCTGGGGAAACAACTAAAACATACAGGATTATGCTCTTGAAGGACCAGGGTTGTAAACCGCTCATATGTATCTGATTTCATACTAAATTCTAATTTAAAAAATGTGTTTTTATAATCACTGTGCAATCAGTAAGTACTCGTATCGGTACTCTGAGAAAAACTGGTATCGGTGCATCCTTAGTTTCTAACTTAAAACAGGAAGGACGGCTGGGAATTGCATACATTTTGATTTATGAATTTGATATTTAGCCAATAAACAAAGCAAAGTAATTTTATTAAATAATGTTCGTCTGCTTTTCACCTGAATACAGCTACGTAGTACAAATTTAAAAACCAAACCAAAATACAAAACGTAAATGGTGGGAAATGGAAATGGGTCTAGTATTGAAACCAATATGGCAATTACAGATTGTGTGTGAAGATGGTGAAATGTATTTTGTGATTATGAGAGATTGGATGAAAATGCTATTTTTTTTAGTGGAAGGGAAATTAAAGTAAACAATACCTCAGGTGTTGCTCGTCGTTTAGTCCTTCTGAAAAGATAAGACTTCAAACATACAAGAGTTTGGTTAAAAATGTTTCTGTTATTCTTAGTTTCCACAATTCAACAGTTTTCTGTCTCTATATATCGAAACTTAGAGGTGAATTAACTCTTGATATACAAATCCATTTACTAAAAATACAACATACGCTGCAATTGGAGTCAGGTATCACACATGATGAAAAGGAGTTTGTTTATTCACATGTATAAGAGAAGGATACAGGAACTAATGAAATTTCAATACCAAAAATCCAGACTGACTCAGATACAACTTTGGAACTTGTGTTCCAACATTTGGAGCTAAATCTGCTGATTGAAGAGATATAACAAAGAAGCTACATCAAGGGTGAGCCAGGCCGACAGTGTATCGTCATCATCCCCAACATATGAGTATGGGTACTAAGATCCTGTGAAAAGCCCCTGAGGGCAGTCATCCTGAAAATGGAGATTGTGACACCTATGCCTCGCACGACTTGCTAAGGCTAAGTGATAAAGTACTCTATGAAAGTCTACTCAAAGCTAGAAGATGTGAACACAGCACTGTTAAGTATCCCTACTGGCATCATCACAGAGAAGGTAAACTGCCCATGTTGGGTTGGTGGCGTTGGCAAAAAAACAAAAGACAAAACTCAAAGGGGCAGTTCTGAGGATGTTGAGGTTCTTCTTGGGAGAAAATAATAAATTTATCTCAGACAGAAAATGTTGAAACTCAATATGCTATTGCTTTAGCTTTCCTTCCCAAAAATGTTAAAGAAACATTATTTATTATTACACTTCACAATAAAATTTTGGTGGGTAGGTCATACTGGTATCAAATAACAGTGTTGGTTAAATATTTTTCAAATAAGCTTGTTATTTGACTTCAGCCTTAATAATCCACCACATAAACTGGATAATTGGACATGTCACAGCAGAAATCCTTTTTAAATCCTGTTTTAAAATATTCACTTGCATAATAAATGTTTTATTCATTTCATGTCCTTGATTCACTTTGCAGTGCAGTTTTTGTTCTTTGCTGAAACTAAAGGCTAAAGTTTAGAGGTGATCAGGCCTTTGCAGTCTCTGCACCAAAACTCTGGAATGATTTACCTCTTAGCATTCGGACTGCTGAGACTGTTCAGACTTTTAAATCTCTACTTAAAACTCACTTTTACTCCCTGGCCTTTCATTCTGGTAGAGTTTGAGATTCTTTTAAATGATAAAGTTTTTAACGTTTTTCTGTATTTTAAATAGATTTTATTGTCTACATTTGTGTGTTGCTCAATTGTTTTATTTATTTGGCTTAATTGTGAAGCATTTTGGCCAACTTCTGTTGTTTTTATGTGCTATATAAATAAAATTGACATTGACATTGAACCTCTTTCGCATTTGTGCTACAAAGACTGAAAGCTGAATAAAATAGATGTGTTGACTTACGGGAAATGAATTAAAAACCTGTAAATATGAGAAACTGTTTTAAAACCTTGAGGACATCATCATGTCTGTTCCGTTGCTGTCTATGACCTCTGAAGCTCTATGAAAAGTGTTCTTACATTAATCAGTGGCAGATTTAATCTCTGCCTGATCTCCTGCTGACTTTCAGCTGGATCACAGATGACCCAAGATCCACTGGAAGACAGAACAACAGAGAGATAAATCGAAGAGCTGACTTATTATGGTCAAGCGAGAAGATTCTAATCCCTGTCTGACCAAGATGCTGCTTGCACCTTACACTAAATCACAGCTGGAGCTAGGTAGACTTAAAGGGGTGAATGTGTTTCTCAGGCATATATTTAAATTCTATACCATAATAAAGTAACTATGTCACCTTCAGTTGTTATTAAAATTATGTTTATATGTGTAAATCAAAAATAAATTTTACATTGCATCATATCCGTTTCTGAACGCCTTGAAAATGGCCTCTGTCTCTTTAAGAACCACCTTCAACTTCTGTCCTGCCAATTTCTGCATGGGGCCGGGTGGGTGTGTGTGTTCTGTGATGGGGAAGCTCGGTTTGGAGACACCGTCCAGAGGAGGAGCTGCACCTAAAAGGCGGTTCTAGGCCCAACTGGTCGTTCTTGCTCCCCAGACTGGCTGCCTCAGGACACTACAGGAGTTCCCAAACATGAATGAATGAGACTATGTGTATGTTTTTGATGAGGGGATAACAATAAAACATGATATAAAGCTCAGAAAAGTTGATTTTATATGATATTGCCCCTTTAAGAACTAAAAACTTCCCAGGAGTTCTGTGAATTTCTCATGAAGTATTAAATGTCCTGACCAAAACAAACATTTCTTTTTCTTCTTCTAGTATGTAGTAGTTCATATATAACTCTCCCAACTTTTAATTCAAAACATAGGCTATGTATAAAAGGTGTGCATTATGAACATTACATCCTGTCTATCAATAGTAATGTATGTTTTAGAAAAAAACATTTTTGAATTCATCTAGTACTTATCCGATTTTTTTTTTGTACATTAGACGTGTGTCACTACTGGACAGTCGTCTTAAAAAAAGAGAGAAAATGTTCATAGTAATTCTTTGATTTGTTATTCTTACTGAACTTTGAATGCTCGAAAATCATTACCTATTACCACACGTCATTAGACTTAACTTTTTACAATTTACACTTAATTTCTTCTAAACTTGACACAAAAATATGCTAATATGTGGAAAATATAATTAGGTTCTTAATTCCTCCTTTTGCATGGACTCTCTATGTTCTGCAGACAGAAGCTATCTTCAATAACCATTTCCTCAGCAGTTTAATAAAATCTAAAATACCACGCCACTACAGACTTGGTCCTTAGATTGTGAGATAATAAATGTGAACAAGGTGCTATCTCTTTTCACAACTCTTATGAGCAGCTCTTGCCACATCAGCTTCTTTTTTAATCTCCTCCAAAGACACATCTTTTTACCTCATCTGCACCTGGTTCTCCATTCTCACCTAAACTTTCTGCTACTTTTACCCTGGGCTGTTCTTCTGTCACCCTCTTCAGCATTGTGTTGTCTTTCTTTGTTCTTTCTGCCTGTCTTGTCTCATTTCACTTTGAACCTCTCTAGTTGACATTTTCCCTCTAACCCTAAACCATTCTGTTTCAATTTATTCTTTCAGAACCGTGTCAACTACTGTACTCATTCTTTCATTTGTTCTAAGATATTTTTTTGTTTTTTTAAGCTATTTATTAATTTTTTCTCCTCAAAATCTAACTTTCTTTCCCTGTTATGTAAAACTAATCATTCGTTTTAGCCTTCTACAACATGGTCACAGATGTACCGAGTAGTAGTCACAATAC